TGTCTAGTTTAATTAAGTTATGGGTCAGCAAACATCTTCAAAGTGTAATTTGTGGTAGTTAGCTGGGTGGATCCAGAGGACTGGATGTTTGAGCTGAGAATAGACACTATTGTTCAACTATCAGATAAAGTATGGCTGAAAATAATGTACAGTCTCTTCAGTACTTACGCCTTGTATTATTATGGTTGTTTTACAGTATGTCTACTAGGAGATCTTTCATCCTAGAGAATGTTTGTTGTTAATCACTCTATATGGGGTGTTTTTGTGTACACCCCATATTTCAGTACAGTACCATACAGCACCTAAATGTTTCTTTTATGCAATTTTAAAATATTCTAGGCTTCCAAGATTAGCATAAATGTTGAACTTTTTAATCGCAATATGAGAATGGTTGTATACTAAAAGCTGTGATTTCTGTGAGTTTCAAAAAAGACTGGTAATGTGACACTGACCACATGTCCTAAAGATCGTCTCTTGAGTGGTTTATCCAGACTGTTTGGCTGAAAATTCACTTTCCCATCTAAGAATAGCAGGAACGTCTATTCCCTGTGAAAAGCCTTGACCAGTTTGAATAAAAAATTACTTTTTTTTTTTAGACATTTTACTCTCGTCACCTTAAATGGTGATTGTTATCGGTTGTTTATATTATGAAGGGTTTAATATGGCCCAGAAGGGTAATCCTCATGTTAAGGGTACATGTGCATTTGTATGTGATGTTTTCTGAGAACAGTTTCAGCGATCCTAAGCAACAGATGCTGCCTTTGCTGTGATAGTTGTATTTGGAATAATACATTTCATTATTGGTATAGTACTAGTTACCTTTCAAAAGGTTTACAGCCTTAGTAACCCCTGCATTAAAGGTATGCAATATAATGTAAACTTCATGTTTGCAGAACAAAGGCTTTGAATATGTTTAAATATACCAATAATAGATTTTGCTTTTTTGTTGCAGCTTAATTAATTTCACTCTTTGCTCTGTTTAGCAGAATGGTAGTTAGCTTCTGTCAGCATGATCAAAGGTAAAGGTTCCATCATGCTGAAGAAAAGAGAATTCTGCAGACAAGTGTTCCCTGGTGAAATTTTCTGCAAGTCTAGCAGCTTCAGTTTTGGTTTTCAGTATACCACTCAAGCTTCCTTCAGTGTTTTTCCTTACAGGGGTTTTAGTATTTTTTTTCTTAAGCAGGCATTTGTTTTGCCAGAGGTAGAATTAACACAGCACAGACTGGCAGCTGTAGATTTTTTTAAAAGATGTTTTTAAGCTGATGACAGCAGCAATACATAACATTTGCTGGATATTTTAAAAATGCCTACCATAACAAATTACTAAAGGTATGCAGGAGAGTGCAGTCTATCATTTTAAAATGATGATGGCAAGTATTTCACAAGCTGCCTCCGTGATGCACTGAAAAAATTAGGACTGTAATTATGAATTGGATAAACATGTTCTTAAGGTCTCTGCATCACACCTCGCACTTACTTTCATTCCTTTGCCAGCTATAATATGCTAGCATACTTAAAGCAGAGATTTGGTTTGTTTGGTTATTCTGTGAGTCTCTATATTTTCCTCTGGGGTGCATGTATTTCCTGTTGAAATGGGGGCCAATACAAGGAATTTGCAACATTCCTGTAAGTGTGCTTTCATAGCTGTGGTTTATGACGGAAACCCTGCTTTTCAGTTCTGTGTTAAGTTCTCCTCTCCATACAACACTTGTGAAAACTAGGAGCTATTGACCTCTGCTCTGACCTTTCCCTCCCCTTCCTAAGAACAGGAAGGAGACTGAATTAAAAATGACCGATTTCAAGTCACATCATTTTTATTCCAATTAATTTCTGCATCTTTGTAAGTTATTACCTTGTAGTGTTGGCATTCCGTTTTTCACTTCAGCTTAGCCTGGGGTATTTTGTTGCTTAAGAGCTATTGTGAAAATGCTCATCTTTTGAATTGGAACAACATGGTACACCGCTAATGCTCTGGATTAATATAAAAGAAAAGGGTAGCTGGTTTCACTTGTTCTGTAAGTGGGGGTCATGTGTGTAATAACAACATTGTCCAAAGTCATACTGCATTTTAGGCTGACTCGAGCATAGCCAAAAGAATTTGATATAGATTCAGTCCAAGAACCTCTGATTGTACATAAGTTATTTTCAGTGTTTTTGATGTTGAAGTGTTATGTACAGCACAATAGATCAAACAGATTTATTTATTTGTCTTTTTTGAGCCTCTCACTGCAACTGCATCCTGACTTTCAACATCTTCCAAATCTGCAGATTCACCATCCTTCAAAAGCTATCTGCTGCCAGGGAATATGAGTATTTACAGTAGAAGTTATATAAATCTTCAGTCAGCATTGAATTGCGTTCCTTTGCATTTTGTGTTTGTCTTGACAAACCTGCCTTCTTAAAAAAGAGTACCACTACTTCTTGGACTGATCTCGTCAATTCTTTTTGAAGCTAATCCAGACTGGGATTTGATGGAGACCTCTAAGGAACACCAAGTTGTTGTTATAAGTGGTGGTCCCATAGGTAGAGCTCTTCCTTCTGCACCAGCATTGCCAAACCAAT